AGGCATTCTGTGGATAAAAGAGAGGAGCATACGAAACAACAAATAGGTGAACCCTTATCAAAGCTACAGTGCTGCCCCTCTGGCACCCATCTACAGAACAAGATGATACGTTATTGTAAAAACTTTTGCTCCCCCCCCCACTTTTATTCTCTTCTTCTTGCTGAGTCTGTTTTTCCTCCTATCACTTGTTTTCCATCAACATTCAACATTTCAGAGTGAAAAGTTAAGATCTCTCCCCAGTGAACATTTTTATGTGGAAGCAATAAAGTGCCACATTGTCAGTTTTGTGCTGCAGGAGAGTCACTTTGCTTATTGATACAAAATCTTTTAACAAAAGGAAGCACAAAGGGGGGGGGGGAGAGAGAGAGAGAGAGAGAGAGAGAGAGAGAGAGAGAGAGAGAGAGAGGAGGGCAACACCAAGCATTACAGCAACGCTAATGTGTGTCTCTAAGCACACCGCTTTTAGTTTTGAAATGCTTCCTTTTTCTCATAAAACTTTTCACAGCATATTAAGAGAAAAAAGCAGTACTTTTTGAAATAGTAAACAAAGATGGCATTCCCTCTGGGAATTACTTAAATATTACAGAAACAAAGTGGAGCAGCTAAATAAGAAGAGTGTTACACAGGATTTGCAAATCATAGAGGGAGGGAGGAAAGGGGGAAAGAATAAGGAAAGGAAACAAGAGGAAAACTCTCAGTGATGGTCTGGAATTGGATCTGGAGTACGTGGGGCTGGAGCACGTTGCATACGGGGCAGGGCATAGATCAAGCAACACACATCCGCTCCTGCAGGTCTGTCATAATGCAGTGGACTGAGATGGGAATCGCTTTTCAAGTTCCTCCACAACGCAGTTCAAGTTTCCATTCTGTTGGCTGTTCTCAGCCTCAGCCACAGGTTCAGTCCTCGGCGGTTCTGGTGTTGCAACTGGCTTTAGTTTGGCTATATGCTTTGGTAGAATGTGGTTTTTGTCTATCTGGCTATACATATTAGCAACTGATTTCTCAATATCTGCTAAATTCTGAATATTTTTAAGAATCCCTTTCAGTTCCCTGCGAGGGGGGGCAGGGACATCAGGCACAAGAACCTGAGATGACTCCATTTCTTCCCTGGAAGGTGACTTGGCATGTTTTGCAGGGGACAACAGCTGAGTGCTTACAGTAGATGAGGAAGAAGACAAGGAAAGGCTGCGGGGGGAAGGAAGCAGAGGTGGTAATGGGGGAGGAGTTGGTGGTGGAAGGGGTGAAGATGGAGGAGGAGGTGGGGGAGGAGGGGTTTTGGGTGGGTCCGGAATGTTTTCCACTGCTTCTACTTTAGATTGTGCAGGCAAAAGAGTTTGGCAAACTGGAATTTTTATCCTAACAGAAGGAGGAGCAGGTTTGTGACTTGGTGGAGGAGATAACGGTTCAGGAGCATCATGATGAGTGATGATTACAGAAGGTATTGCAGATGTTTCAGGTTCAGAAACCTCAGAGGAGGGTGAGAGGGATGAAAAAGAAGGTGAAAGATGGACTGGTGATGGAAGGAAGCTTTCAGTAGACAATTCTAGTGTGCTCGCTCTGCCTTGGGTGAAGCGGCTGCTGGTTGGCGAATGAAAACTCTTCCTATCTCGGGATTTCACTTGCTTCATTTCCTGCAGAGCCTGTTGCTCAAACTGTCTTGCCTTCTCTTTGACTGATATCTTTGTGCCAATGATCTTTTTGAAGACTGGACTGCTAATATCAGCTCTGCTGTGCTGGATTTCGGCCCTGTTGTTCTCTGCTCTGATTCTTTCCTGTTCCCATTGGACTGGGTCCATAATGACTGTCTTACTCAAAGCATCAGAAATGTGTCTTCTGGTAAGATGAGTGGGTAAAGTCCATGCTCGATGAATGTCCCCCAATGGGAACCCCAACAGAATATTTTTCAAGGCTAGCATTTTAGGAGAAAAGGGGGGCAGAAAATCCTTTCTTTCTTGCAGAAACCCAGAATAGGAAGAACCCTGGAGTGCACCCTCCATGTACAGAGGGTTCTGAGTTGTTAATGGGTTCTCATCAGACAGATATGTAACATTACTTGCAGATTTGGGAAGGTTATTGTTCAGTGTTCCATTGATATTAGACTGCTTGTGGGCCTCAATAGCACGAGAAGCAAAGTTGCTTATTGCTCTTTGACGGTCTCCTTCTTCTAAGACTGACTTTTTTCCCCTGCTTTGTTGAAAATGGTAGAGAAGAAAAAGACTTGAAAGAAAAGAAGATAATCACAGGTAAGGAAGCATGCATGGAAACTGATTCTCATGAGAAAATAGAATCTGAATGCAACGAACAAACACGGTGCTGTCTAACGCCTTCTGTGGTTATCTAAGAATCTAGATCTATAGTAATTAATCTATATGTAATTAAACTACTAAGGAAAGGCACTCATTTAGTTACTTAGGGAAGTGATTCACTTCTTCACCAAGGGAAGTGCAAATACACAGAAGATAAAAATGGTAAATTTCGACCCACAAGAGTTAATTGTCCTAATTTAAACAAATTCCTTACAAAAGTTAGTCCTGTGTCGATATTGAAATGCTCTCCTAAGACTAAAATGACATGGCTGACAAGCATTTTGTGTGGGTTCCTTTGTGGGTCCATGTATATAATATGTCCATACACCGAAATAAGAAGGAAATGGAATCAAATGAAAGCTATAGTGAGTTATGTTGGGCATATATATATATACTAAAAAGCAGAAGGGAAATTTGCTATCACCCCAGTCCTACTATGCCTTATATGTGCAGGAGATCTGATGCACAAGTGGAGACAGCCACATCAAAGGCTGTCTCCATGGTTTTTCATTTCAGTGGAATGGCCAAATCAAGGCTGCAAACCGCACCTTTCACTGAAATGAATGGGAGCACCCACATCCCAATTGTTTGCTGATATTAACTGAGGACCTGGATGTTCAGATTACTAATAGGCTAGAGTCAACATCATGGTCATAATGGTAACAGAAGTTACCTATGTTCCACCGGAAACACCACAGCCTTGGCAACAGGTGGACTGATATACTTAAGGAAAATGTAAAGCTCCGACTTTAATTAAATATTTTAGGTATTTAAGTATTTAAATAATACACATAAATATGACTGTAGCAATATAAGAAGAATACACAGAAACCTGAGTAGAGTTTCAAGGCTCAAAACCTTAACGTTGATACTATTTTAGGAATGTAGAACAAATAGATCTTTTATACATTTTTCCAATACATTGTTTAACTTCCACTAACCTTTCTATTAGTTTATGTATTTGTTTGTTTAATATATATCTATGGCAACCAACAGCCAGCTCTCTGGGCCATAAAATACAACCTCAAATACAATAAACAAGTTGAGCAGTTTAAAACTAGTGTAAGTGTGACCAGGCGGCCACCTAAGCATATTGTGGGTACTTGTTGCTAACATGTCTGCAGCAGTGGTACAAGTCACTACACAAACATTTTCAGTGGCATCACCTTGGCAGTTGTGCCATGCACCACGAGGCTAAGAAGACTTCATCAGTTGAAAAGTATGTTTACTTGAAGCTGTCCACCAAGTAGTATTTCTGTGCCAGCTGTACTCATTTTATTTCTATGGCATTTTAGGAACAATGGTTGGCAGACTAGAATGTATGCCCGCTGCTATGAAGTCCATTTTGGCATAGCCTAACTGCAAATATGATGAACTGAATAAGGCTGCGCTTTGATGGTGACTGAGAAGTTTATGCTGTTTAATTGAGATTAGTCTGGTTGACGTTAATGGAGTTTCCAGCAAGTGAAAAATCCCAGCACTGCAGCCTCCCTGTTTCACGATTTTGAAATGTACTAATCATGGAAACAAGTTGAATGGAATAGAATCTATTTACTTTAAGTGACTGATGTCTGTACATAGTGCAATTGTTTTTAGCCCTTTATTTCTACTTTCCTTTTGAAAATAGGAAACCACAATATTTAGATGTGAGATTCTACAGTACTAGGAAAAGAAAATAAGTGCAGTTCTAATTTCTTTCTTTAAGTTAACTACTTTGTTATTACCTACAATGGCATAGATTTACTTACTGTTTCCTATGTATTCCCACGAAAGAGAAATAAGGGGAAATGAGAAACAAAACAGATGATGAAATGTTAATCATATATGTTAAAGGTAGACTAAACATAACTTGAAAGTAGAATGGGTGATGAGGGGAATTCAGAAAAGTAATCAGAAATAGGCGCCTTCTTCAGAGGACCTATTACTTAAATGTGAAGGTATCATATGAACCTAAACTTCATGTAGATAAACAAATTATAAGTATAGCATATGTGTTGGACAACAAAGAAAGATGTTTTGCTATGGCATAACCAAGCAAATCCCAAGGCCTTTAATCTAAAACAAATCTCTAGCTGATTTCTTTGCTCATAATGATGCTTGGTTCCATTTCTAAGGGCAATTCCATCCCACTTACCAGTATGTAGTGTTGGGTTAGATGAAGGGGAAAGTGTGCTTGCAGAGTACTGTTTGGGTTTTGGCTTGTATCATATATAGGATTTTAACTAGGGCAACATATGGTCTAAATGATACATACGAGACTTGGAACATCTGTACAAACATACAATAACCCTCATTCTCTCGTAATACTGTCTCCCACCAATTACTAGAATTTTGCACTCAGGATCTTAACCAGCAGTGGACAAAATAAAGAAAAGAATAAGAGTCTTTTTAGTAAACTGGTTGATGTATACTAACAATACTCTTTCTCCACCATTGCCATCTATTAAGAAAACACTCACATAGACTTGAAACAGAGTATCAGCCCGGACTAGATGAGAACAATCAGAGACATGCATTCTTCATAAATATGCACAAACACTGTGCTTATTAGTCATAAGTCATATACTTTCCATTATCTGTTGAGCAAGATCCTGATTATTATTAGTCCTTTCTTAATTATCCTCTCTTCTTCAGGGAAAAAAAAGATTCACATACCAACAATAAGCAGCATTTCAAATTGCACTGAAGACTTACATAGTGCTGTCACCAAGTTCTTCATAGAGATTGTTGGCAGGCGCACTTGCTGGTTTGCCAGCTGGTAAGGCCATCTGGATCCGAGCTGTCTTTGCACATTCTGCTTGTCTCCTTTGGTAAATTGCATGGAGAAGAAATGAAAAGTGTCAAAAATGTTCTCTAATCAAGATCAGATTGGTAGCAATGGCTATGCACAGTAAAGTAAATGGCTATGTAAATTGCTATTATGGTTTTGTTCTTTTAAATTGTGTCTTTTTGTGTCTTTTCAGCTTGTGCTAACCACCAAGAGGGCTTCAGCTATGAGGCAGCATAAAAATGAAATAAATAAAGTACAGTAAATAAATTTACTGTAGCTTTTCACCTCAAGATTGGTTACAATATTAAGAATGTGATTTTAATATATGACAAAAAAGAACAAAAATCTGGTCCTTTTTTTCATTCTGCCTTCTTTGGAGATACTCAGAGAACTATCATTTTTCAGTCTTGCCTAGAAAATTTGGAAGAGCGGAATCAACTGCAACTCTTTGAAATTAATACCTCAGAGATGTCAGCATGAATATGTGAACCACATCCCATTTTTTCCAGGAGAGATTATTTCTAAGTAATTATGCTTTATGCAAGACTTTACGTTTGTGTAGCAGATCAGAAAGGCCTTAGTCTACCTCACAATGTCCTACTGATGTGATTGTCTACATATTCGTTTGTCTGTGTTAGCTACATACATTGAGATTTACTCTTAATGTATCTATAACATGTCAGGCAGCTCATGGCTCTGTCATCCCTGGTCATGTTCAAGACCAGGTTTCTCATGCAAATTTCCCTTTCTTTACACACACATTTGCACAATGAAGCAAACCATGACACATACAATCCTGATTATACCCTATACATTTCAAGGTACAAAATGGCTATGCAATTAAGCCATTCTCTTTGAAATGTGAACAACCTCTGAAGTCTGTCAGTTTTATAGTATGTTTTTTACTATCATTATTCTGTTGAAATGCTTCCATAGTGATTGAAAACAGCATTTGAAAAGCAAAGATCCTGTCAGCTTCCCAGAAATAAGACACAAACCTTGCTAGCTTCAAGTGAGACACCCAGGGGTGACCAGAAGCCCTCAGAGCTGGCCCCACCGTTATGTAGAGGGTTGCAGACTCCCAGGTGGAACATCTGGGGGCCATATGGACTGGCAACGTGGGGAGTTGGGAACAGATCTTCGCATGTGTGGGCTGCTCTGAAGGGCGCACGTAGCTAGCCTGCTGCCCCCAGGCAGTGAAGGAAATACTGCCCCATCGGAAGGAAATTCTTCTGTCAGCTCAGTTGGCTTCTTAATGCACAATGGGCAAAGGGGCACCAGCTTCTCCTTTGCCTCAGGCAAACAAGCCTTCCCTGACTCTGTGGGGAAACTGGTAGATTCAAGATGGAAGCAGAGCACTAACGGGGTCCTGGAAAGAATCATCAGTCTGGTTTTGCTTTTTAATCTCAGACTTGAAGCTATAAGTACTGTCCTACTGACAGTAGGTAGATCCCCCTCGGACATCTTGTTTTCAATTGTGAAAGGATCCAAAGTGAACCTTAGCACAATTATTACCGTTCATATACAAGGCATTTGAAAGAAGGCCAAAAATGCATACTTACTCTTTAAATCTGTTTTGCAATGCAGATGGTAAGACAGAAATAAAAAAAGGATAAGTTGTGAGTTTCACTTAGAAAAATGTTTAAATGTGAATTTGCATAAACTTCATATGGCATGAACCTTAGACCCAGCATTTTATTAGGCCTGCAATCTTAATGAATTTATCCCTGAAGGGCACAGTCCTATTGATCGTATCCATAGTGCTCATAACCCCTGAACTTGGAGGCTTATGAGTATTTGGATAATCTCCCACTAATCCTCCCTCCATGAATATTAGCTAGAACTTTTGCCCAGCTGCTTGAGTGCTCTGAAAGGAAGGAAGTTAGCTGGAGCTGTGCCAGGAGCCTTCGTTTTCTGGTGGCCCCACTCTCCTTCCCTCCTCTTCATGCAACCCTCTCTCTCCAAGGATGAGTATCTGATCTTCGAAAGGGAGGCCGTGCCGTTCTTTCAGTGCCGGATGCGTTGGTGGGGAAGGGCAAAGATTTCTAGCTGTGAAGCTGCAGCTCAATTTCCAACCTCCAAGTTCCAAAACCCTACACCTGCTCATCTCAATGATGCCTAGAGACCATAGGTCCCAGCATTCTCCAGCCAGCCATACATATGACGAAGCCCTTATAGATTAGAATTAATATGATTAATGGGGTGAGGTCAGCTCTATATTTATACATAAAATCAAATAATCTATTAATTAAAGAGCAACATGTCACCCTCTATTTCTTCTCCACAGAAGGCTGCGGAAACTTATCCTACCTTCTGATCCCCAGGTGGACATTTTGGGGAACGTGCAGTGCCAGATACAGAGCCACTGCCTTCAGAAGGAGACCTCTCCTACCTTCCATCAAGTGTCCTACTCTCCACCAGTGCATTGGTTAAGAAGGTCATGCACTCTACTTAGGTACATATCTGAAGGGCTGTCACAAGACAGTCCTCTTCTTGAAGATCACCTTTCACTGAAGGACTATCCAGCCCAGCTTAAAGATTGTGGGCTGTAGCCAAATGTGTCTTTCTGTTAGTGCAAATGATTTTCCATGAGCAGACTCGAGGTTCTGAATGAGGCATGAGAAGAATCCAAGTAAAGTTGCATGTGGGCAGGAGCAGTTGTTCATTGCATGTACATAACTTTTGTAACTGGTTGGCTATGCTGCTTATGCAAACTGTAAGGCAACCAGTTGTACAACCTGGTAGCACAAGCATAACTGCAGCCATTTGTGCAACTTAAAGATTCAGTGAAACTCAGCAAGTGCTTTCTGAATTAGTAGAATGACATCTGCCCAAAGAATCATCAGAAGCTACAGCTGGATTCTTCAAGTTGTATACCAACAGTTACCATGTGAAAATCAGGCTGTGCAAGGCACGCAGGTCACATGGTCACTTTCTTACTCTGTTGAGATATATTGTATTTTTATTTGGTTATTATTTTCAAAGGTGCATGCACACACATAAACCCAGTACATACAGATTTCTTCCCTCTTTTATTTATTTTTTGGTGACACATTTCCTCTTCTGGTGACATTGAGTAGCTACCCTAGACACTGCTACATCAGCCTATGGACAGGAAGGGACGGGAAAGCTGCAAAATGCCCTGAGAAATTCCAAAGCATTGCACACAGAAAGGGATGGATCATGTCTGATCCATACTTATGTTTTTGTTATCACTGTATACTCTATAAAAATGATTTGCAAGGGAAAAAAGTAATTATTAGTTAAACACAGTCTCTTCAAAGCCAATTATGAAAACAGCTATCTAACTTGAATTATGACTATAAAAGTTTGGCAACCCAATAAGAAGTACACTTTATAATTTTCTCCTGATTTTAAATTATACATAGAATATTACAGAAATAATAATGGGGTCTATTATGAATGTGCCACCCTCCTATGATTAATTCATAAACTTTGGCTCATAATTACTTTCTTTTGTACAGGATACTGAAATTTTAAAGGTGTCATTAACTAGAAAAGAGCACTGATAATTTCTAGGATTATTTACAAGTAGGCTCTGGGCAGTGCTACAACAATGTTAATTCACACTGGAAAATAAGCAATATAAAATTCATTTAACTTTACTGTTCTTTTTGTATAAGCTGCAAAAATTAATTCATTCAATATTAAGCCAGTCAGTAGGCTGGAAAGTATTGAAAAATATTAATATGACACACAAGAAAGTTTTAATATAAAGCCAGTCTTAATGTTTCCACTTTATGTGCACCAATGACAACAATTATGTTCATTCAGCTATAATCTTTGCACTAAGTAGCAAAGTTGAACAGTTTTTTTTTAAAGGGGGTATATGGTGCTGAAGGAATAAGAAAGCTAAAAGAAGAGGAAAACAGATGTTTCCTGTATTGTTTAAATACAGCTCACAGCCCATGGGTTGAACTGTTCTCAGAACTTTTGCTTTTGGCTAGGAAATACAAAGAACAGACACTCTGTCCTAAAGGAAAATGTGGATATTATGGAACTCATAAGTCCTTTTCCAGAGTTTTCATGACTCAGCCTGTCATGTGTGGGACACCACTGAGGAGACAGAGCAAGCCCAACATGTTCCTGCAGGCTCCTAATCTGTTCATTGATCTCTGAGGGGAGCTAGAACATGGACGTGACGTAGCATGTGGGCAAGGACATCAGTCTGCCTTGCTTATGCTGTGATGCAGGACACTTGTTTCTGTGGCAGTTCCCTGCAGGAAGTGGATCCATATACTGAGAATTGCATACCATTCCAAACGAGAAAACATCTCAAGAACCCTTCTAGGAAAATGAGGTAGAGAGAGGAAATCAAAGGGGCAAGAAGATCTGGATAGAAGCCCTTGGTTCATTAGTCTAACCCCAGTGGCATGAGTCTGATGGAAAAACTTTAAACATGCAAAGAATATTAACCACCAGTGAGCCATGGACCTTCTCTCCATTTCTGTGCTAGAACATCAGAATTTTCCCCTTGCTCTTGCTGAGGAGGGGAAATAGTGGAATTTAGAATGTACTGAGCCTGAACTATTCCTTCTGCATAGAGGAAGGTAGGAAACACTTTGGTAGGCTACGAATCCAGTACAGCACATTGTGCCAAAGGGGTTCTAGTGGATTTCAAATCCACCAAAGCTTATTATGTATTCCAGCAGGGTTATGACAAGTGCCTCAGCTGCGGTGAATTCTCCATTTGGTCAACAGAAGCCTTGAAAGTTAGAAAGATAACCCTGGCATTCAGCTTTATGCCCAGAGCCCTGCCCACTCGTTTGTCTATAGCAGAGAGGGTGACCTGCAGCCCTCAGATTACTCTTGAAAGTGCTCAGTCCAGAGCGCATGACCTGAACCTTCTCTGGCAGTGCTGGATAGGAAGGAAGAAAGGAAGGAAAAAAGGGGGAAAGTGGTGGCAGAATTAGGGTGACCCACCCGCTTTTGTCATGGTTCCATCTACCACGGCTTTTGACACCACATGCTGCTGGTTTCTACCCTCCCCACCAATACCTTATGCCTCTCCCCTACCAAAAGTTGCCTATAGACCTTTGCAAGTTTCACTTAATGGAAAGGGCCTGCATGATCAGCGTGGCTGAGCCTTTAAATGTTTATTTATTAAAATATTAATGTTATACTACCAGCATGGGAGATTCCCACAAAAAACCACTATCAAAGCACAATGGTAATTTTTAAGGGGTACCACTGCTGACTCAGTTAAATTATGGCTTTTAGAATTGATTAGCTAAACATTCCTCATGATGATGCATTATTCATTCTCATCTCATTGTATTAGTCAGTCAGTCAAGTTGTTCATGTCAACTTGCTTTTGTTTGGCATGATCCAGACCAAAGAGGGGTGGGGGGAAACCTTCTTAATAAACAAATGTTTTACTGCTCTGCAATGAAAAGTGGTATGGAGCCTCACTTATGTATGATGGAAAAAAGACTGAAAATTGTAGGACGTGCAAACAGGTTTACTACCATGTGTGTGTGTAACAGGTGTTCCATACTCTGCATTAAAAGAAAATGGTACTTACTGTCTGTAGCTGACCATGACTATTAAAATAGCAGGCATGCAGCAAAGGATGATAATGACAGCCAGAGCCAGCAATGCCCCTTCTGTGTAGCCAACTGCTTGTGCCTGTTTCTTGACGTTGGCCACCACATCTGGAGTGCGGATTTCCAAAATACGTCCCCCTTGCCCCAGGTATGGCTGGAACTCTTTATTGATATCTAGCAGCTTTCCATCCAGAAACCTTCCGCATTAAAAATAATACATAAAAAACCATTATGAGAATGGCAAGTTCAAGGACTGTTGCTAGTTTGAGGTATACCACAGTCTTCAATGTCAGTTAGCATATTTGGCACAACAGAACTAATTACCAAACAAACAAACAAACAAAACCCACCAATTCCTGCCCCTCTTCACATTTTTCTTTGTAACTATTTTTGGTGGCATTTTCTTCTTTCTGAGCCTTGTTTAGTCTTACTGCCATTTAATCTGATTGACTGCTATCCTCAACAAGATTGTTTACAGCTGTAACATCTGTAGATGTAACAAACTTAGGATCAGGACACCGTAATCAAACCTTATGGACAGCTGTTGGTAATCAGATATAATGGCAGCAAAAGCAAAGAAGAAAGATGCAAACAGAATCAGGATATAACCACTACCAAGGGAATAAATAAAACAATCTCAAAGTGTAGTAAATATGATCAGAACAAATGTCGAAAATGGAAGGTTACCCCATTCCTAGTCAGGAAATTGTTGCATGCATCCAAAGATCAAATAGAACATGAATATATTGAAATATATGAAATTGCTGCTGTTCTACAAATTGACTTTTTGTTAGTGAAAAAAGTTAGCAGAACTGTTCCTGAAGTATACATTGAATCCTAAACCTGAAAAATGCAGATGTAATACAAGTTGGAATCTTCTTACTGCACTCTAGATAAGCATGCTAAATGATGCTCAAGCATGCTAGATATCATTTGCACTGATGAAGAATGCAGGGATATCTTGCTTTACCATTAGTACACTTCTGGGAGGTGTAACGCTGCCTCTGCTAAAAAGTCGCAAAGCAATTTCTCCATAAAACTCTATTTTTAGGTTTTTATAGCTCAACAGTGCATATTACAGTCCAGAGGAAACCTGGCATTCTGTACAAAACGAAACAGGGGACTTTTTTACTTTTGAAAAGTAGGCATTTTCAAGAAAACTGTGTGCTTCAGAAATCAATCCCACCCCATTCTCATCAGGTATAATGCAACTATTTCGATATTGAATATTGCCTATTTTCTGAAGCATAATACATTCATTTTCATTTCATTAATTACATTTCTGTGGACAGAATCTATGTGACAGCTTAGAAAGATTAAGAAGCTGTAAATAAATTATAAAAATGATATAAATAAATGACCATATTTGGTTTAAATCCACAATTACATTGTTGATCATTAGCATGGCAAGAGTTTGCACAGTGAATTGAAAGAAACCCCCACTGAAATCAATGGAACTTGCTTCCATATAAAGGTGTGTGGTGCTGCACACCAAGAAAATCTGATAAAAATATGCAGCTGCACTTTTGTGAGCAGTTCAATTAATGGAAAGTATAACAATTGTCTGTCAAGTCATCTCCAATCTATGGTGACCCCATGAATGAAAGACCTCCACATTGTCCCGTCTATGACAGCCCCAATCAGTTTTTCTAGGCTGTGGCTTCCTCTCTGGAGTCTATCCATCTTCCTTTTCTTCCTGGGCCTTTGCCCTTCCCTATCATGATTGCCTTGTCGAATGAGTCTTGCCTTCTCATTATGTGTCTGTATGACAGCCTCAGTTTTGTCATTTTTGCTTCTAGGTAAAGCTTTGGCTTGATGCTTTATGACCCACTTGTTGGTTTTTCTGTCTGTCCAGGATATTTCATAGAATCACAGAGCTGTAGAGTTGGAAGGGACCTTGAAGGCTGCTGGGTCCAAACCCCTGCTGTTGCAGGACACCACATCACACCATCCCACTCACATGGCTGTCCAGTCTCTTTTTGAACATCTTTAGTGTGGGAGAGCCCACCACCTCTCTAGGTATTGCTCTGACAGTGAGGAAGCCCTTCCTGATGTCTAGCCTGAATCTGGGCTGTCACAACTTGAATTGATTATTCTGTCACCTACACTCTGACAACAGCAAGAAGAGATCTTGACTTTCCTCTTTGTGACAGCCTGTGAGGTACTTATAGAGGGTTATCCTGTCCCCCTCAGTGAAAACCTATCCCCCAGCACCATGTTTCAAGCATGTTAATAAATAAATAAATAAATAAATGTTAGTTTTCTTCCTGTCAACTTTCTTCACTGCCCAACTTTCACACCCATATATTGATCTTGGTGGTTTTCAGTGAAACATCCTTATGCTTGATAAACTTTTCTATTTCCTTCACTGTTGCCTTTCCAAGTCTCAGTATTCCTTGCTACAGAATCCCTTTGAACTGATGACTAAGCTATGTGAAATATTTCACAATTTCAATTTCTTCATTGCTAACAGTAAAGTTCTGTAATGCTCCTGTGGTCACAATTTTTGTTTTCTTATTATTCAGCTGCCATTCTGCTTTTGTCCTTTCTTCTCTCACTTTTGTCAGGAGTCATCTCAAGTCATCGCTACTTTCTACCATTAGGTAGATCTGCAGATCTTAAATTATTGTGTCTTCCACCAATTTTCCGTCCTCCTTCTGATTCTAATCCAGCTTTCATTATGTTATGTTCTGCATACAATTTGAACAAAGAGGAAGATAAAATACATCCCGTTCTGACACCTGTGCCTTTGGGGAAACATTCTGTTTCTCCATATTTTATCCTAACAGTAGCTTCTTGTCCATGATACACCCCCAACATCAACACAATCAAGTGCCAAGACACATCCATTTCTTTTAGGACTATCCATAGCTTCTTGTGATCCACACAATCAAAGGCTTTGTAGTCCATAAACATAGACTGATCTTTTTCTGAAATTCTCTGGTGCACTCCAGCAGTCAACATGCAAAAATTACCTAATATGTTATTATCACAGGCTGTTAATATATCAAAGAAGCAGTATTTTCCCAGCAATATGAATGCTCTCTTAGTGCATTTTCCCAGGCTCACACTATATTGTCACCTCGACAGAAGTAAACAATGTTCCCAAGTTTCAGCCACCTGTCTTTTACAATTTTCTTTTTATAACCAAAACATGCCTAGGCATAAAATAACCCAAAATAATAACCCAAACAACCCCCAAACTTGTGATGCTTCTGTTACACACACACACACACACACACACACACACACACACACACACACATTTGTATTTCTCTTTACTACAATGTAGCCATATTTGTCTAAGTCAGAACACTATTGTTTGCATAGCTGAGAACTGAAAACCATAATTTCATGGTGATTTCTAGTTCTGGTTTGTAGATAAACTATGGTTGGATGTACTATGGATGGTCAAGCAGCAGAAAGTATCAGGTGAAATATGAACATATAAAGGATGGTGGAGTGGAAGCTCAGCCTTGCTCAAAATGTCAGTTATGATCTGTACCAGTAATTCTTTAAGAACTTGCTTACTTGGAAGTATTCCCACAGATGGTAGCTGAACTTTCATCCAAACACAGCCAGCTCACATGAGTAGTGCAAAGCATTTGTAGCATGGATGAACCCACCAAGGCTTATCAACTGTTTTCAGAGTTGTACCCAGACTTGAGCGTGCCAAGCAATTCCTACTTAGGAAGTCTTAAGATGTACTGGTGACCTTAAAGGGGACAGTGATCCTTCTATAAAAGTGGTGGAAAACATGTGGCTCTTAGAGGCTGCATGTGCAGCTCACCTCAAGGATTCTGGCCCCACAATTACCCCCTTAATGCCCATGCTGCCCCCACCTGTGCCACACAAAGTAAATGGGGAGAGTCATGCTATGAGGCTAATTCTGCTGGGAAACAGCACACAAGAGTAGCATTCTCTTTCCGAGCAGAACCAATTTAATTAGAAAACAGGGCAGATGGGTATGCTTCCTTTTGTGTGCTCTGTTTTCTAGCATAACCAAGACTAATGGAAAGAGGATGTGTGAAGAACACCACCCCCATGCATCTTCATGGGGTTGCTCAGGATTGCTGAGACTGGGGCAATGCAAAGCCTTTCCTCCTCCCGGTGAGCATGAGCAAGAGCACTTGGATGGGGTGAGGCTTCGTGCTCAACCCATCCCAATGAATACAACGTTGCTGTGGTGGTGATGGGATTAAAATCTTCCAACAACCATCAGCGGCAGATGATAGATGTTGGGAGGCTTTTTCCAGAGCAACGTTTCCCGAAGACCACCGAGGACACATTGAAGAACGCTTAGAGAGGGACAGATCCTGTTGGGAGTTGGACTTTTCTGTTGAAGAAGGCTTGGGATTGTGGCAGTATAATGACGAGGAGAGAAGGAGAACCTAATGATTCTTGAGTCAAATAGTCCTTCTAAACAAAGATTTAAAATATCACAGTAGGGAAACAGACTGTATTCTGTTGCCATTGATTATGTTTTTATAGAAAGATGTTTGGCTTCTTGACCTACCGCCCCTCCAATAAACCATTTTAATAGGATGCCAGCTTGAATCTTGCCTTCTTCTCATGGCTTTTATAAGCAAACTATAATTCTCAGTGGCTTCAACACACTACTTCCATGCTATGTCAGGAAGTACAGAAGGCAACCGTAACAAAGGCAATAAACAAAAGCATAGCCCAATTGCTGGTGTATGAACTGCAGTTTTGTGTAGAAAGTAGAAGCTACTTTTATACTCTGGAAAGCCATCTCTAGACAACCTTCCATTAGGGATCCATTTTCTGTCCTGTATTCAGAAAAAAGGGTTTTTGTATTAGATTCTACAGCACTAGAAATGTTATCACATGCCTTTTATTACTCTCAATCCTCTTTTCTGCCAAGATGCCATTCCCTAAAGGTATTTCTTTAGTTGGGAAGGTCATGTGGGGTGCTAAGGAGAGAGAAAAGCAGGTGGCTGAGGAACCAAGCTTGCTCTTCAAAAAGACCATGAAAGTCAGCTCTGAAGTCATCCTGAAGGGGCAATGGGGCAAGAGGGGTCACTGAGGAGTCACCAGAGTTTATTTTACTGCAGGATTAGGTGAAGGTAAGTACCACCTGGAGTTGCTTTTCAGATAAGCATCTGAGCTTATCTGAACCAAAACTCTGGAGGTTCCCTGCCACAAGTGAAAACACATTAATGCTTCAGACTGAAACTCTCATTTCATTTCTCTCCTTTACTTTGCTAAGCTGACTCTTATTCACCTCTACCCCAAAGTCAAGAAAGTATTCCCTAGGTTTTTGCTGATTAAGATTGTGAAAAGCTTTTGAAGAGGGAGAAAAAAAAATAAGCTGACAGTGCAAGCACAAGACATTTTTTAATTAGGTTGCATCTAAGCCTGTGTTAATTGGTAACTGTTCAAAACAAGAAACAGCACACTTGCTTTGCTTTTTTAATGTTACCCTTCTTTAGTAGGGTAAGTCTGTATATTAAATTAAGATGTTATTATGCAAGATTTTTCCACTATTCTACCACTGCAAAATCTACAGTGAACCAGTCTCATTTTAATAGGAAAAAAAATCGGTAGCAGCTAGCTGCAGAGATAAAGAATAGTAGGTTTCTTATGTGGTTGCCATCCTGTGTCCATTTACTTGAAGGAAATCAAAGGGAATGCACATGGTCAGACGTTTGGACATGGAAACCATTCTGCCAGTGGTACTGCTGGATGACCAATGTGTTTCCTATTAAGTGGGATACCACTGAAAACACCAGCAATGGTTGCATCTCTTTCCACAGCTGAGGAAGTAGGTTGTTTTTCAGCATAACTCATTCCACAATAAACCATTTACAATGAAATCCTATTCATATCTTCTTAGAAGTAACTCTCACTGAAAGTAAGAAGACTTCTCACTAAACATTGCTTGGATGGGGCTGCTAGTCTATTAGAGGATGAAGAAGCTGTCTCATCTTGGTTTCAGCAATCTTTTCAGGGGTATACATTCCAGTGGTGTGTGGAGTGAAAGGGCAGGACCAAAACTACCAGCATATTGTAAAGTTCTAATTTCCTTAGGAAAGTCATTTAAACCTTTCTGAATGGAGAAAAACAGTACAAAAACCAGAAAGCCTTTTGAAATTGCTGGGAAAGGGAAAAGGCCACCTAGGAAATCAGAGGGGAGTAGATTGGGTTGTCAGGTCTTCAGCAGAGATTTTTCTACATGTTGCAGCTCTTTAGGCATTCTTGGTTAATGCTGAAAATTGATATTTGGCAGTGGTGTGAGTGGTGGCAGCTGGAGAGAACTAGTTATTTGCCTCCAGTTTAACTAGGCAGAGGAGAAAAAGAAGTCACAAAAGGTCAAATGATGTAAGGGTCTCAGCATCAAAAAGTTAAGAAGTGATCTAGTAGGATGTATTCTGATAAGTGCAGACTGTCAGGCATTTGATATCCCAAGATCCACTCACTGATGGAACGAAAGTTCCATACTTAACTGCTACATAATATGCCCAAAAATGAAAAGAAAAAATGAAACAAATACATTAAAACAAGTATCATTTATTTAATTAATTTATATACCTCCCATTAGTCAGGATGAGTCTCTGGACAGTTTACATAATCAAAATAATGAATTAGAGACTGTGATATAATTATATCATTAGCTGATTTTGAGGAGTAATCGATGCTTAATTAGGTGGTTCATTGGCATCATGTTGAGAGGCTCCAGGGGTGGTTATAGGGGTGGTTATATATATAAAAAAGAGGAATTAACTACTGAATTTGCTTTAAGTGGGGAAGGATCTCAATTTAAGACCTAGAGGGGGATTTTATGACCATAAATGATTCCCTTTGGTACACAGCTGCCTAGGAAAGAGGCAAAGTTTATAAACCAAGTGATGACCAGTAAGTTGATTAAAATGCTTAATTTCTAGTGTTTGCTATATTCCATTGATTAACTTGAAAACAGAGAGTAATTCTAGTGAAATGACTCATCATATGTTTGAATGTGGTTGTAAGGATTGTGGGGGGAGGATCTCTCTCAAGAAAAGAGTGACTAGAGGATGACACAGCAGAATATTATGTAACCTGTCATGGATATAATCACACTGTATATGAACACTAAGTCAACACAATGCATATTAAAATACTCTACCATGCATGCAAATAATTTTGATCGTAATCAATGGCTGGCTGCTGATCAACTGTTGACAGACCAAATGCAACCAATGTAAAGGTGTAGCTTTGTTCTGTTATATTTTTGTTTTGTTTTTTCCTTGAGAAGGGAAGCAGGAGTAAAGGTGAATTTACTCACTGTTAGAAACAATAAATGAAAGCTAATGTTTTCTTGTTTTGTTCTGTATGTCCAAATGTTTGTCATTGCCAGTATGTGTATTTGCTACCTGTCTACATAATATTAGAAAGTAAAGCAAAAATTTCACTTTCTTATCTAGCAACTATTTTTAACCTCTTTCCTCATCCATCGTGTGTCTACTGATTACACCTCCTTTGCTCAGCCTCCTCAGGCCTTATCTTATTCATGTTGTGATTTGTCCACAGAGAGTTTGGAACTCTGGGAAATAGTATTCCTACAATGAATCACAATTCATTAGTAAGCCTACAGGAATTTGCTTCTCAGGCACATGACTGACAGATTGTCTTATTCTATCAGTGAAGCGCTGTGGCCTTGTGGGAGAAGAGGTACAATAAAATGTATGCAAAGCAGCAGCAGATGTCAATACATGAAAGAAAGAATAATGACCTTCCTCTGCCATAGATTCAGGGCAGTAAATGAAATAGCTTTGGGAATTGGGGTAAAAAATAAGAGTCTTTGCAAATGAGAGAACACACACACACACACACACACACACACACACACACAGAGAGAGAGAGAGAGAGAGAGAGAGAGAGAGAGAGAGAGAGAGAGAGAGAGAGACACTGCAGTGAATGTCCTAAATTTACTGACTGCCTGTATCATGTGAGGGCTGAGTATCCCAGGCCAAGTTGGGTAATCTTTAAAAGTTCAGAGACACATGATAGGTAGAAATAGATACCATTCTGATCATAAAATACATCTATGATTGTCAGCATTCACATGTCATCAAGTTTGGACAGTCACCATAACATATATTTAGATGTGCATACATATTGATATATAGATATATTTAGTATAGTTCTCAGATAGAAGAGAACAGGTGAAGACACTTGGAGGTTAAGCTAGAACCTTTCTCCATAATTTCTGTTTTGTATATCCAAAGAATTTGTTCATATGGAAGAACATTCAGTTGCATGCATATCCACACAGGCTTGTCTCCTCAGCTGTTTGAGAGACCTGTATTTTTCCTCATTCTGAGTTGTGGTGTCCAACCTAGCTGGAATGAAGTGTTTCTTTCTGTGAAGCCAACCTGATAATCTCTCCTTTCCTGATAGGATGAAGTTTCTTTTATCTACCAAAAAGTTCAGCTGTAAAGAGAAAATTCCAACTTCTCATCCAAGTATATTTACTCCTTTTATCAGGTGGAAAATATTGGAATGCAATTGGGGGGTCACTACAAAAGAGTCCTCTTTTTATGTGTGAGAGCACACAAATCAGTTAGATAACTCTAGTTCCCTGTTTTATCAGAATGAGGAAACTCTCTTTAACAGTTTCGAAACAAGCCAGGACATTAAATCACATCAAACTGTGTTTTGATATCCTAGCTTTTTTGAAGTTGCTAACTGTAATTTCTTCACTCAGATAAAATAGGAAGTTGTTTGTTTGAGGGCTCACATGAAGGAGAGATGTGCAACCAAAAGACTCATTTGTATATTAGTTGATTAAACTAAGTTGCTTGTAGAAACATTGTAACTAAATCAAATCAAGGCAGCTGCAGTGGCATGGACACTCAAAAAGAGATACTCAAGATGCTACCATAATGACATTAAATACATACTTGAAAAGCTCATTTCTCATTATAGCACGGTTTGTTTGAGGATCAATTGCGTAGACCATAAGATCAGATTTGGAGTAATCTTCCTCTGAATAGCCATCTCCGTATCTGCGAGCACCAATGGATTCTACCACAACTTTTGCACCAGGTATCTGATCTTGAACATAGCGTTCCAAAATCCTGATAATGGAAAACAGTGGAAACATATTTTGTGAGCTTGTTATTCTATATGGACAAAAGCCTGGATCCAATGATCAAAACCATAAATACACAAATAAAACACACATTTTCAAAGTGTGCAATTCTTAAGGAAAACTCTACCAACACAGAAACAGCACTCAAACATTGTGCTCTTAACTCTACTTCTTTGTATTTATGATAGCATTTGAGTTTTAAATGGCTTTGGGGAAATTCCAATGGTATTTACAAATAAAACTGTTAGCATTATATAGGACTCTGTTTCACCTCTTCATGGAAGGTTAATAAATTCTCACACACAAAATATGCCAACAATGAATTGTAGTAGAATATTTCATGGATACCTACAGTCCAGCTTAACAGCACATAGCAGTACATCTTGTACTCCTTAGGACATAAAGTAAGCTTTGCACCAGAGGGAAAAATCGGAGTGCTGAGCTGACAGGTTTACCACAAAACAATAAAAAAGGCCTGCAGTTAAACCATAGGCATTATATAGAAACTGACAAACTGTTGAAAGATAGCTTAAGCAACAGAGCTGTGCTAATATACAACATTATCAGGGACAAACAAAACAGAACTCAGAATTTTCCTCAATCAAAATCATGAGATCAATCCATAGAAATGACACCTATGCACAGTGATGGGAAAAAGCAGAATGCCTCTCTCCCCAGGGAGAGACTGCCCTGTAGTTTGGTTATGTGTAAAGGAGGAGGAAGGAAAAGAAAGGGTAGAGGAGGAGGAGGAGGGGGAGGAGGGTGGGGAGGAAAGGCAGTGGGTTCCCTGCATCTTTAGGAAGTATGTTTTTGAAATCTTTATTCCTGTCTACAGAAATAATGGAGTTTAATACAAAACTGTAAACAAAGCCAACATGTAGAGCTGGTGTCCTGGAAAGCATTGCTATTGAATTGCAATGCACAAAAGAGAGGAAATAATTCTGTGTAATCCAAGAAAGAAATGTATTAAAAATCTCTATAGATAAATGGAGTTTCCCAATCAAAAGGTTTTATATTCTGAATCTTGGATGGACAATTCGCAGTTGTTTTGTCTATGCTGGGTGGGGCTGGTGGAATTTGTAGGTCAAAATATTTGGAGGCACATCACAAGTTGGCCATCTTTGTTCTAAGCGTTGCTTAAAAATGAAGCAGCTGGGCACCTCTTCTATCAATATGAAGAAGAAATGGGCTTTAGTCTTTGCAGGTGGGTTTTGTTTTGTATATAAAACTAATACTTATTATTCAAGGAGATAACCAATTCTGCCCCATAACAGAAATTATATTTAAGACATTTGACAGGCCCCAAAATCATTCAAGATTCTGGAATTTAAAATTAATGGATACATCCCATTCCCACTCTTCAGATATACTGGAAATGACATAGCTGTGCTTGACAGAATGTCATACTAATGTTGTACATTTATATAGTATTTTCAGGTGCATCACATACATTTCAACCAATTTAGTATTTTCCTTTTATTTGTCTTTTTTGCTGCTTCTCTGTACTTCCTGCTGAGTTTTACAGCAGTAAAGCACAATCACACTTACAGCGGAGGGTGACTCTAGAAAACCTAGTTTGGTGAAGCAAAGAACACTGGATTTAATCCTTTAAACCAGGACTTAATCCATGCTATGAAGGAGGCCCCTAATGACTAAAAGGGACTGAAAGTGGGAGGATTGAATGGGAAAGCAGCAAGGTACCCCTTGGACTCTTTCCAGCATGATTAATCGCCGTAATGCTGGCTGTTTGGGATGCACAAGCTGAGTAAGACAGAAACTTGGTTACCTAGGGCTATCTGTCAATTCCTTTCTCATTTGAGATTCACACTGTGGACTACAAAAAATCCTGTAAAAGATGGTAGGGCGTTCTAATGTTAGAAACTGATTTCCCCTTGTATTACCTATTTTACAAACTACCGCTTTTCAGAAGCGTGGTTTACATTGCTCACACCAGATTTTATTCTGCTTGATCTGCACTGTCAGAGTCTAGCATAGACATCTTTCCTCTCCATTCCGCCACCAGTGCTTAGCACTGCTTGTTCTCCAACACATTTGGCCACAGCTTAGTATTCTTTTAAAGGAGAGACCCTACCAGCCCCTTACACTGCTCGTATCCAGCAACTGCCTCCTGGCCTTTCTTTGAAGTGAACATTTAGGCCATGAAAGTACACAGAAAATCAGCAAAGCAGCATTCTTCTGGAGGGATGGGTAACATTATCTCCTAACCTCAGCTCTCCCTAAGAAAAGCCAGCAGGATTATGCTTTTTGATATTTTAATTTAAAAGCTTCCAACCCTCTCTCTTATCTTCAATAGCCTCATGATCCCCATCATTTAACTTCTTTTCTGTGTCTAATACTAAGTCAAAAGCAGTGGCAAAAAAGGAAAGTACATTAAGACAAGGAATTTAAAGCAGATACTGTGCGGAAGCATATTGATGGAGTGGAGCTAAACAGAGCAGCAGAAGGAAGAGCTCTGAGGGATGCTGGAACCGGAAGCCAGATAAGCATACCTGCATGTTGCTCCAACCAGCAGCAGATTGAGAATAAACCTTAAGTATGCTTTTGACTTCCTTTAGACTTTCTAGGCCAACTTCCCTGTTGACCAAAGTTTGTTTCAGCAGCCATGAACTATGATGGCACTGAAGTGTAGTAGTATCTTCATGGTTAGGTCCTCAAGATCTGAGTACAGCAGTGTAACCTCCTCTAGAGATAGGAGACTGGTCTTAGTGGTTCTTCTGGAGGCTAAGGAGATGAAAACTAAGCCCTCTTCATGATCCGTTAGTTCAGCACCTTTCTGAAAAGTGAGGTTGTGGATCAAGCCTAACATGCTATTCCCATATTACTGCATGCCTTGTGTTTTGCCTTGTGTGAGGCAAAAAAAGTGGTATCCATTTTGACTGATACCAGAAACACCTCCTCACCAGCATTGAGACCTCGCTCTACCTTTTGGCAAGTTTTGTTTTGTGTTTATTTTTGGCCTTGTTCTATATTACTGCTATTAAGTAAGACTGATTGCACAGCGCTTATTCATCATGCCATCCAACATCTAGAGTTATCTCTGGTATGAGCTAGCTGTATGTGAGAAACACATTTCTTTAATTTTACAAGGGTTGTTTGGTTTGGATGCACAAATAGAAACAAATCAAAACTAGCTAGTATTTAATATTGAGGATATTCTTTGTTTACTAAATTGTAACTAACATCACACGATTATAGGGTAGATATAATGTGCCCCCCCAACCTTTTTGGCATCTCCCACTTCCCTCCCCCCAAAAATATTTAAAAAGCAAAACTGCTGGTTTCCCACAGAATTTTGGTGTTGCTGGCAACTGCAAGAAGGGACTATTTTAAGGCACTTTTCACCAGTTGTGCCAAACTGATAAAATTCAGCACCAAATGATCTTCCCACCCCTGGCCAATATGCCACTGAATTTGGATGGCGGAGCATCACTGGGGCAAGTGCGGAAAAGGGTATGCAGAAGGAACATACGGAGTAGCAGGAAAGGGACTAAACTTGCAGCAGGGAGAGATCAGCTGCTGCTGGTTGCAAGAAATCTGGGCACTATTTTCTGCATTTTGTATTCTTACAGTAACTACTTGCAATTTTGGCTCTCCAACAACGTCTTCCTGCATAGGAAAGGTTTGGTGTGTTTGGCCCTGGCCTATACATTATTGGTCAACAATAATTTATATTAAGTTGTAATTATTGATTTTGCCTACTCATTCAAAATGATACAAGGCATGAAATGAAGTGTCTGGGCACTTTATTACTGTAACTGAGGTCTTAGCAGGCTTTCTGTTATTGCTGTGAACCACGCAGAGAGCTTTGGCGATCGAGCAGTACAGCCATATAGTCAATAAATGGATACATGAAGGCAATGCACCCCTCCCCAATCCCTGGAGCCCCCTTTTGCTTTTCCCCTACTTTTTCTTGGTGGCTGAGCACACTCTAGGAGAAAGCAATACCTGCAGCCACCAACAACCACCTACATTTTCCAAGATTTTATCTGAATTCCATGGCCTAGAAGCATCCATGGGAAATGAAGATGTCAACAGCTGAATGCCCTTAATTTTTCCAGAAGCAATCTCAGCTGAAGGTAAGAACACTTCTTTAAGTGGGAAGTCACCTTGACTCTTATTAAAATGGTGTCCAGGGTCTTGCTGGTACCTGTGGGGACCCTAATGCTTGCTCCAGACTTAGATGCAAACTCTCCTTTTAGCTTACACAACTGGGCAGCAGGGCTGGTATAAGGCTGTTACTGGCTAGATTATTTTGTAATGTGATCAAGGTCAGTCTACAAGCTCTCCCTGAATTCCCCTCTAACTCTGTGACTGTGTGATTCTGACAAGGAAAGAGAAGATGCTGACCATCTTTGGCTCAATCACTTCATTATTAAGCTAAGGTCTCAATGGGCTCTCCTCCTATCTCTGAGGAATGTGATCATGCAGACATCTGAGAAAAGAAAGGAAACAGGTTGACTCAGTGGCAATGGCAAGAGGCTGAATGTGCTTCTGTGGTGGATGGTGCTAGCAATCAAAAGATATTGACTTGGTTCTGAAACCCCAATAACCCATACGTAGGAGTTGAAAATGGGTTGTCTCCAAGTCATGGTTTGCTGAAACATGGGTTCATGTGTTGCCTGAAACAAGCGGTGCCAGCAAGCCATGGTTTGTTGTTGGGTTGCGGGTTGTTTATCACAGTTTATCATCTGAGCTGTCCCTAGACAACAAAAGCCTCATTTTAACATCAGCCTGTGGGCTTATGATCATGCAAACTGAGTCTACATCTGGAGCATTTTAGGACATTAAGATGGTGATGAGCAAACCAGTATTCAAGTGTCAGAAAAAGGTGTCAGAAAAGGGAAGCAAAACAAATTTAGGGCTAAATAGAATTAAAAATTAAAACTAACTAAAAAGATTGACTGGGTTTATGCCTTGTTTCTACCTTTCTATCTGCCTCTCCTATCCAGATGTTTGCTATTTTACTAATCATTATTTCAGAAAAGTTCTATCAGTGAATCCTTAATCATAAATATATTTCAATGCTTAGCTGAAGTGTTGGATTCTGTGAGATGTTTGTAGAGGGAACACATGATTACCCTATAAGCTGATCCTTGCTCTGTTCCACAAGGGTAGGGGGGACATTTGAGACGATTACTTGCATATCCAACTGGTTGACCACAGAGACCTGAAAATATAGAAGCAAAAAGTAGTTGAGGGCTGCAAAACATACTGTATATCAGAACATGAGCAATGGTGAAACCATCACTTGTGAGAGTCTCACTCTTACCCATAGTTGCCCATAAGAATGGATGTGGAAACACAGAAATGGTTGTGCTCCTCTAGGCTGCTCTTGATCTAGGCTTCCTTCATTCAAATGAATGGGATTTTAAAGTTCCACTGGATCACAGCCTTTTGCTTTACGCAGTATGCCATCATTTAAAGAAGCCACCATTTCTTACACAGCTCACATTCCTTTGCATTTTATAACCTTTGCTTATTTGTATCTATTTCTGAGAATGATGCCCATCATGTAACCACATGCCCACTTATGAACAAATTAATTCTCAGTTTTACTTATGTGAACCTAACTGGTTATAGAGTTTGAAAAACAACATTGACTGCTAAGAACACATAGTTTTGGGACCAAAGTAGTCCTCATCTTGCATCAAGTTCTACTTCTCAGATGAGTAATAGCAAAACAAGCAGAGTTAGAAGATCTCAGCTCATATTTGTTCCTGTATTTCTGAGAAAAAGCAGGCATAATGGAATTTTCATATTTATCGAAAGAGCTATCAAGCTGTGTTTCTTTCTCTTCCTCTCAGAAGCAGTATAGCGTCTCTTAAGACAATGGTGTGAGAGAAGGAAAGCAGCTTGAATGGATTTTGAAATGTATTTGTGGGAGAGAGAACAAACATGGGAAATCCTGACTTTCTCTGTCACACAGAGCCTTGATTTTTCAGCAGGACTGGATGGGAAAGTTAAACAATCAAGTTGCTGAGCGGAGAAAGAAAACAAGAGGCTGATTTGCTTCACTGTTCATGAATTAACTAGCTGGGTGAAGGTAAATTGTATTAGCAACATATAAATCACACACGACCTACAAGAGCCATTCCACATACAAACATGTGCACAATATAAAGGATGTCATTCACCACACCGGGCGGGTTAATCTTTCAGCAACAATCTCACATCAATATACTTTTACATTTAGAATAGGAATGTAGCAAACATAAATAGCATACATGTCAGGGAGCCATCATTGGCCGTACAGTTTCTTGACAAGTGCGCAACTGGTGACAACCTATGTTTGCCTCTTTGCAATGTGTGAATGCTCTGTAAGCTGCTTCTTTCAATGGAAATTTATACCTGTGAGATTGTGGTCAAATTGCATGGCTATGTTGGCAGGCAAGAAGCTTTAATCATCATGATAGTGGAAATGTGATTTGGTATTGTCCTAGGCTACTAAAAGGAAAATTCAACGGAGGAAGGAAAATCAAACATCTCTGTTAAATCTTGGCCACTATCCACAAAAACAATTACTGTAAAAGTTGTGTCCTCCCTTGTCTTAGATTGGAAGAGTTTTCTGACATGTTTTGAAAAACTAGGCCAGTATTAAACCTAGCAGAAAGAAATAAGCTGGAAAAATGAACTCAGACAGTTTTGATCTCAGAATGGGGTGCTAGTAGTAGAATATGAGATAGGAAACAAGTTTAGAGATATGCAAGAATTTTGACATTGTTTTATAATATCAGACTGTTTGAAATAGTAACCCATAAAACTGTGAAATTTAGTTTTGTGTTGTAAGCAGAACTCACTGCTTATCTAAGGGATATTTAGCTTCCTAGGGAAAGCTAGAAAAAGAGCAGAAATAGTTGATTTTGGATGGAGTCTGCATAAGGCAGAGCTCCCTTATACAAACTCCATCCACCTGTAGCTGCCCAGAAATGAGTGTTACTGCTAGTTTTGGGTTCCTCCAGAAGTGCCAGTTCGCTCTTGTGCAACTGGTGGAGACCACTTGCACTACAGAAATGGCAGGGCCTAAGAGAACCAGCCAGAGAATGAGCACTACTCCTGAGGTGAAATCATTACTGGATAATTTGGGCAGTCAATATCTCTCAGCCTGACCTAACTTGTTGTTCTGTGAAAACACCTGGACATTTCAGAATTGCTTTCCAACTGCATAACCCTAAAACTCAGTTCTGGAAATCAGGGAATCTTATCTGGAAGGGAAGACAGTAAGCTGCCTTACAGGCCAAGCTTTTAATAAGCTCACTACTGTCTGCATGGACTGACAACAATTCTCACAGGGTTAGTCTGAAAACTTTACCAGCCTTCCCTGGAAATGCCAGGGATGAAACCTAGGAGGGGACTTTTACATTCAAATGTAGGCTCTACCACTGAGCAATGGCTTTTTCCCTAGAAAATTAGCAGCCTCATCACCTGCACACATCGGATCCCAGCCAGGGGTGTGAGGAAAATGTGAAAGAACTTCATGAAAGAGTAGGCTAAAAACACAATAAATAATAAATAGAGGGATTGGATAATTATATGGAAAGCCACAAACAAAGATCCATAATGTTATTAATTTAAAAGTAAACTCCAAACCACTAAAGTATTTGTTTATTGGTCATCCTCAGGGCTCCTTCTTTTAAAAACACATGGGCTATATTTCACATTTAACAGTGTTATTTAAATCCCTGTATCGTTAAAAACATGGCTTTTGTATTTGGAAATGGCTTTGTATTTTATTTTCTGATGTGAACTGGCATATAGGTCTTATTCTGAAGTGTGCTGAGCAGATCAATAAATTATCTGATTAATTGGTAGATTTCTTTTACAAAAACAAACAAACCCTGTCCAGTAACCAGGTACTGAACCTCTGAGACAGCCATGGAGGAAACACTAGTAATGCCTCACATAAGTACGGGTAAAATATCATTAACTATACTAATGAATATAATCTCTCTCTCCCTTCCCCCCACCTTCTGAAAATGCGTGTGCGCTCCTAACCAATTCATATTTTCTTTGCTCAGAACTGTAACATAAAAAGAAAATAACAGATAAAACTAACAAGAAAATAAAGCATTTAAATTAGCCGAGGAAAAGTATAGCTTAACAGCAGTAAAATTAATAAGAGGAAGGAATTTAACTTGTGATATTAAATGGAAAAAAGGTTTGATAAGAAAAATAATTTTGAAATATTTGGAGACTGTTTATTGAATATGTTTTAATAAAATTAAAGAGGTGTGAACAAGAGTCAATGCAGTTCTGGAAGAGAAGTTGGGCAACCTGAATGAATAAATGATCTTACATTAAGTGACTTGATTTGTTGGTCCTGGTGCAGGTAGAACTGGTATTGTTGTATTAATTATGTTTATTAGTAATGTTTAATTATGTTTACTGCTATTATATTAATAGCAATTTGTTAGTTTAATAAAATATGTTTTTTAATTTTTAAAAAGGAAAAGTGTAGCTAGGGCTGATGGAACCCCTCTCCCAGCTCAGACTCTGTGATCAAGTTCTAGGAACTGCCTGTAACTTGGGGGCAATGAGAAGTGGTGCTCCCCTAGTTATGGAATGAGGGGAGTTAGTTAATTTCCCCACTAAGTGGTGGCAGCCTTACTGCTTTTCAGTGCCCAGTTATGCCTATCCTATACCACAGGGCATTTAATTAGTTTATTGGAGTTTTATTAGTTGTTTAATCAGATTCCAAATTATTGGAATTTTAAATGTAGTTATAAGTTTTGTATGGGAGTTTTAAAATAATGTTTTCATAATAGGGCATATTTTAGATTGTATTTTAATGGATTGTTATAGATTGCCCAGAGAGCTTTGGCTATTGGGCAATATAGGGGTGTGTGTGTGTGTGCGCGCGTGTGTGCGCATGCACCTATGAATGAGAGTACCTCTATTTCCTGTCTCTGAACATGACTTTTTCTTCTCCTGACACCTTAAGTAAAGAATGGCCCTTTTCCCATTTCTTCTTTAAGGCAAATAACAATGATACAGGTCCAAAATGCATTTCTTCATTTATACTTACAAGCACATCTGATTTATTGCTCAGCCCTTTTCCATAGTTGTCAGTTGCAATGACCTGAAACTTGAAATAAGATCGCCTCATGTTTTTGAATAGCATTGCAGTTTTGATCAGCCCAGTATATGGTTCAATCACAAAGCCTTCCTTTCCATCCTTGATTGGAGGAATGATGAGTCTGTACTGCATAGCGCTGTAGTTGCCGGTATCTTTATCATTAGCCTGATAGGTAAAACATGAGAAAAAAACAGCCTGCTAAAATGACTGCAAATAGCAAAGCACATTTACCTTGATCTTTTACTCAATTTACTGTGCAATCTTATGGCCACTAGATACTGTCTCGACGGCCAGAGAGTCCCAGCTCCAACCTTGGAAATGTGTTCTGAAGTTGGTGCTCGGACACTGAACTCTGAGTGGTTTCCCTCCAGCCTTGCAGCTGGAGTGTAAAAAGCCATGCTGGCTGCATCATTCCATCAGTTTTATTAGTTTTTTACTCTCATTTATTCAAATAGGTTTAAACCAAGGGGAAAAAAATCATGTTTTCTTTTGCAGGAACTCCAGAGAGACCTTGTATACTTCAAATGACAAAATATGGCCATGTTGTCCATAATGCAAGGGAATGATGGTGGTTATCCCTATAATTTGTCGTGAAGGTAAATATTTTTGACATTTCATTAGGGGATGATATATGTTGTCTCAAGGGTTGTGATATGCCTGTCAGAGAAGAGAAGAATATATAGTTAATCTTAATGGTTGTACACCTTTTCCTTTGTTTATGTGGCACATATAAATATGTGGCTGTCTACATAGCACCCTTTGCCCAGTTACGTGCAGTTAGACCTAATGAGGTTCCTAGATTTTAGCATAATAAAATACCTAGTGGTTGACGTCAAAGGCTAGAGACCACAAACTACACGCACAACTGCATATTTAAAACTGCACTGCAGAAGCAGTTTTCAAAATGTAAGTGGAAATGTAAGTAGCCTCTGATATGCCCTGAATTTATCTTTGGGTGCAAAAAGAGGATGACAACTTTCCAGTTGTATGGAAATGTTGACAAAATGCCTAATGAACTACAGCCATTTTCATTAGATTAACAAAAATTATTGGCAATTATCTCTTGAAGATATGGCATCTTTAACTAAGCATTCCAAATAATGAAAATTGATGTATTAACACTATTTGCATAAACATGCAATTAGTACTTAATCATTAGATTGTCAAGAGAAAACCGAAGTTTCATTGAACTATATCAGAAAGGTGACATGTTTTCACTCCTCTTCTCCTAGCAATGTATCTCTGAACCCAGTAATTGTTCTGAAACTAAAGACTAATCTATATGTTCAACCAACTCTGTGGGTGCCCACCTGAAATGAAACCAAATGGAGACTAGTGCCTAAAAAAGTTTCTGGAGCTGATTTAATGATTTCAGTCTTTTCACTGGTCACTTTCAAACCCTTGTTCAGAATGAACCCTGCTGAACATAAGGCATACTTAAGGCCAGTACTGATGTAAGCCTTATCCAAGGCTTTGGGTGGCAGAAGAGAGGGGAGGGTGAGTTTATGTAATATAGGCAAAGGACAATATATGCCCATGTCCTTAGTTGTGGCTAAGAGCACGTTTTCCTTCCAGCTACTCATGTTTTCACACACAGCCACTTTGGGTGCCATATTTCCATGATGCAAGCTCATGGAAAGGCCCAATGGAATTTGCTTCATGGGAGCTTTCCATGGATGCCCAGATGTGTGACTGGTGCCCCAGTGAAGTGTATTTGAAAGAACAAGCCTAGTTATAATAGCTTTTGCAGAAACAGCCACTCCCAACAGCTGCTTAGACGTGGTCTGTTTATAATATATAAACACATTTTAATAGATTAAAACATGACTTTATAAATGAGACAGAGGAGATAAAGGCTGCAATTAGCCGAGCCAAGGTGAATATCTACACCCCCAAATTTGAAAAGAATAAACAAAGTGATGCACCCTGTTTTTGGTTTTTTTTTTTCCAACATGGCCACCTATAAGATGTGTTTATTAGTTTTTCCACTTGGTGGATTGTAGTTAATTGAACACTTGTCGTGTGTGCAGCTTGCTTTATAGTCACTGATGCATAAGATTAGTCATGACAAGGAAAAGGTTCTTTGCCCTTTATAAGAGGGAGACAGCCTATCAGGATGGCAACATAAGGTATGGCTACCTCTGGAGACAGTGACAATCCAGTGATGAAAACAGGTTTGAGAAAGACTATGAAGAATATCTAAATGGGGGGACAAATTTACTCACAACCGTGTGCAAAACAAGACATTAATGTCAAAGCATTAAAAAAATAGTGGGAGAGCAGATGTAGCTTTTAAAACGGAAAATATACATCAAACTGTCAATTCCTGCAGGGAGAAAAGTGATCTTGTTTTAAAAGCCATTATATTTTGCCAGAAACTGTGATTGGAAACATCTGAATTTGCCATCTGCTTTAGTGGTGCTAATGCTGAATAGAAAAGCCCATTCATTTTATGATCCCCTTCAGTATATTAGAACCAAAATTAAGAATGACCTTATGAGAAAGGCTAGAATGCACAAAAGGACTAATAATAGCTTCCCTCCCTGCTTTAAGTAGCTAGTTTGATTTAAGCTCGCTTTCTTAAAAGGACAAAAGGATGGTTAGCAACTGATGCCTGCCACTGCCAATAAAAGGATAATTTTTCAGGATTCTTCAGGCTTGAAGCAATGTTTTGCTGAGTCCAAGGAAAACGTATGGTGATAGGTCAGTACAATAGTGCATACAGACCCTATACAAATAAAGGAATTGTATAATATATTTCCAAACTGACAGAGATAAAGTGCACCACCTTGTAACTTTTAAAATAGCATTTTTGAGGGGGTTTCACAAAGAATATCATGAAGCTGAATATATATCACTTTATTCTCCATATCCTTAGACTATACAAACAGATGCACACAAACTCTTATAGTTTTATAAATATATAAAAAGGAAAAAAAAATACCAGTACTGGTCCATTACAATTCCCCCTTCCTGCTCCATAATCCATAGTATAACAATACCTATATCAAGACCAACCAAATACCAGAGAAGTACAGAAGCCTCATAATTTACATGCTAAGGAGGTAGAATAAACAGGGGATTGGGGGGAAAAAAAAGGAAATTTGGGCACACATGACCTGGTGGCCTGCTGTTTAGACCCAGCCTCAAAACAGAGATCTGACTATAAGACAAGGGTTCCAAACCTGGGGTGCACAAACCCCCAGGGGAGCAAGATGGCATTTCTGGGGGTGCAACAAAGAAAACGTCTGTTTCATGATTTGCCAAAGGTGGTGAATTGTGACCTTTTTGCCAAAACTTATCCCAATAATAAAGTTATTTATTATTATTTATTTACATTGTTTGGACCTATTTTTCTCTTTCTGTTTCACAGATGAAAACTTCATCATGTCAAATCTGAAGCCATCCAAGCTTCAGGAGCACTTCAAGAACAAGCATTGCCAAGCTGATGTTGAAGGACATGGAGCTGGTCATTGAAAGTCAACAGAGCTCAATTTATTCCTAGAGGAATTCTTCCAAAGTTGGCTTTCATTTCTGCTGAAAAAAAAACACTACTTTTTGCTTCATACCAAGTGGCCAAATCCAAGAAGTCTTCTACATTTTCAGAAGAACTCATCAAGCCATGCACACTGCAAATGGCAACAATTATCCGGAACAAAGAAGTTGGAAAAAAATTGAACTAGTGCCCATATCAAATGTCATTGACAACCAACTTAGTGATTTGAGTGAAGATATGTTGGACCAAGTCACTTCAGATGTAAGAGCTAGCCCTCTAAAAATCTCTATTCATTTTGATGAGCTGACTGATGTCTCCAACTGTAGTCAAGGCATCACATTAGCACAATATGTCAAGGAAGGAAGGAAGATTTCCTGTTTTGTGAAGATCTGAAAACCAGTACAACTGCAAAGGATGTGATCCAGCTGGTAAAAGATTTCTTTGCCAAACATGATTTAGATATAAAAGTCATTAGTTCTGTGTGCACTGACAAGGCAGCTGCCAGGCTTGGAAATAAATCCGGCTTTTCGGCATTGAGGAAGAAGAAGATTCCAGACTTCCAAGTTACCCACTGTTTTCCTCATCAACATGCTTTGGCAACAAAAACATTGGCTCCAAATTTGAAGAAAGTCCTTGATACTTGTGTGAAGATCATTAATTAGATCAGGGGCATGCTTTGAACCATTGCATCTTCAAATAATTTTGTGAAGATCTGGGAAGTGAGTATTCATCTTTGCTTTTCCACATGGAGTCCTGTTTGTTGTTATGATGAAAAGCTTTAACCTGCTTCTTTGAACTGTAGGAAGAAAAGTTTTTCTGATTTGTGAATGTGATCTGGTTGGGGTGTTGGAATCACAGGATTCGTCCAAATGCTGTGGATTCAGCCTACTTGGCTGACATTTTCACTCATATGAAAGACCTGAGCGTTTAACTTCAAGGACAGGGTTAAACATATTGAAGGCTTGTGAAAAGCTGAATGCCTTTAACTAAAAGTTACCTCTTTGGCATCAAAGGATGCCAAATTTCCTTCACTTGAAGAGATTGTTTTTCATGCTGGATTCATAACTCCTATTGTGTGTGAAGTAGAAGCTCCTTTGGAAATGCTGTAATCATTTGATGGATATTTTGCTGCTGGAGACCTGAAGATTTCAAAAGAAAGGATCATGAATCCTACATGATTCCTACAATTTGGGGAAAATGTAAGAGCTGAAGGAAGATCTTATTGATTTGTGAACAATGAAGCTCTTGAAATACAATTTGAAAGCAAGACTTTGGAGGAGTTTTGATGTTCAGCACTGGATATGTTTTCAAGACTTGGTGAAAAAGCTCTCCATGTCCTCATTCCATTTGTGTATATTCACACATACTTGTGTGAATCTGGATTCAGTTCTCTTTTTTCAATCTAGGAATAGCCTGAATCCACAGGTGGACTCGCAGATTGCAATCCGCAAGAAAGTTCCACATTGTGAGAAAATCATGAATGAAAAGCAAGAACAAAGAATCCACTGATTTTTATGTTCACAAAAGGCACTAGTCTTCTTTGTACACAGGGAGCCTATAATGGATGGAGAGGTACTACAGGATTAGCACAGGGCCTGTACTGAAATTGTCTGCCTGAAAGAGAGAGTGATTCCAAAGTCACGTCACCGCATGTGATAATGGGTTTGCA